CTTATAAGTAAACTTCTGTGTGCTTTTCTCCTATCAGTCTGTGTCTTATGTCAGTTTAATTTGCAGGCCCCATCAGAGATATATACCATATCAGGAGAGGTATATTTTTGTTTTTTGCTTCCCTGACAGTAAACACCAGTCCAGTCATCAGCCATACCAGAAAGATGCTTTACGTAGCCTCCAGAGGGAGATTTGTTCATAAAATTCTAAATAATATTCTTCATCAGAGTTGAAGAAAGGGCTTGAAACAGGCTTTACTGTGAGTAAATCAGGGTCTTTATTTTGATTGTCACCTACAGGCACAGTGTCTTCAGTGGATCTGAAGGCCTGTGTTCCTGTTCTTAATGTTTGTGAATGATTTCCCTATGGATTATGCACACTGAGCTGAAAATCCTTCTGAGACTCTTTTTAAATACTAAATTCTGAGTGTTTTCCAAATTTATCCATGAAAATATTAGTGTTTTAGAAAATCAGTTGACATGTGGGTGACAAGCTCATGGCCAATATCATTGAGGAAGAGTCATGCCAGCCCTGGGTTGGACATGTTCCTCAGTGGGAAAGGGTTTGCTTAGCTTGAATGAGGCCCTGTGTTTGACCCCCAGCCTTAGACACCCTGTTAAGTCAGGGTACTTGATCAGTGTCCACTCCTCGATCCTGATCTTGCTGAAGCAAATGAAGAAGTCAGTCAAATTCCAGAAAGGGGGGCGCAAAACGAGTTTTATGTGCTGGGTTGGGTGAGCCCCTGGTCTTTGGAGGAGCCAAGGATGCTCTGAGGGTCTAATATAGTGGTTAAAGTTGTGTAACTGGGCCAGGTATACAGCTCAGCAGCACAAGCAGAAGGTCCTGAGTTTGATTCCCTTTCAAAAATTTTTTTTTTCTTTTTTTCCATGACTTTGGTGTTAACACTCACTTCTCCCCATGACCATGTGTTCATAGGTAGATTATTCAACTTCCTCAGTCCCTGTGTTTCCATTTGAAGAACTAGAGTAATTAGAAGGCCTAAATTTATGGACATGAGGTTGAGACAGAATGGAATCATATCAAAAATGGCCTTAGGGGAGGCTGGCATGTGCTTGTTCTTTAAACATTGTAATTAATGTTATTAGAGAGGAGAGTGGCAAATAAGATTCCCTTATAGGATTTGGTCTGTAGGCACTGCTGGCCATTCTTACCTCCTTTTAGGCAGTCTTCTCTTATTGTGAAGGTCAGAAAACCAACAACTACCATATTTCCCCAGACTCTATTTCAGCTGGAAAATTGTTCCCTTTCATTCGACTTGTATGTGTGACACCTGCAAGGAGGCTGCCAGGTCAGAGCTATTTTTATACTTTTAGCGGTCTTCTGCAGGAAATCAAGGTCATGGGGTCATGGAATTTTATGGGGCATCAGTCAAGGTTTATAGAAGGTGAGAAGCATGAGTTTTTATCCTGGCTTTCAGATTCTCATTTTGTTATTCCTGGATTCCAGCTGTGGTCATATGATCTTGAACTCAGTAGCTTCTGCAGCAATCTTCTAACTCCCCACTTTCCTAATTTTGGCAGAAGGAACAGTTGATTGATGGCTGGTTCTTTAGTGTTCTGGGAGTTTCTCCTGAAGACTTACCTGAGAGCCTGCCTTTCCAGTCTTTCTGCCATGCCTGTAGTCAAATCTACCTGTGTTTAGAACACTTAGAATAAATGCCATTCCAAGCACCGAACTCTAACTTAAATAGTAAGCAAGTCTCATAGAAGGAGAGATAAAAAGGGGGAACAGAAAAAAATAGTGGGTAGTGAAAAATAGAAGATGCAAGAAGTAAAATATAGACAGAGGTACTTTAAGTGACTGAGAAGGTGATAATCATGGTTGATGAAGTCCAGCTAGATCCTGAAAACTCAAGAACTGAGTGAAGTCCTGTAGAAAACTATAGATATATGGTCATGGTGCTTGTATAAGCAATGTAAATGTTTTTGAGTAAAGCTCTGTTTATGATATAAAGGGACTTTTTACTGACTTCTTTCACTTCCAAGGAATTATAAGAATACTATAAATGGTTTGAATAGTGAAGTTTGATGACAAGTGAGTACTTTGGTTTCTGTCTTGACTAGACAGAAATACAGAATGGATAACCTTCCTGGGGTTGGGAAGTCATTATGTGTTGGTACTCTCCCACCTGAGGTTTGGTGGTTAAGCCATTCTCTCCCCTAGGGCTGTTTTCCCATTTTAGAGGCTGATCTGTCATACACATAAAGGGGATTAAGTATTACAGGAGCATTCTGTGCTATTAAGCATAACACACTGTTCTGATGATGTTTGCATTCAGCCATAGCTTGTAATAATCCTGAATATAAGAGCCCTTAAGAAAACACTCTCGTTAGCACATTTATCCACGTGTGTTTAGAGATAACAACTCTTAGCAAAATGTCAGTGCACTTATTGGTCTTTGACAGGCTGGCTTATCAGCAAGGGTGCTGTGAAAAAGCCTCTTGAATGTAAAAAAAGCAACCATTTCCCTAGTAATGTGTCTGGGTAGCAAATTGGAACCATTTTGCTTTCTCCTCATACAGTTTGCTAGTGACAGTTTCAGAAAAGTTGATGTGCCTGTCCTTATTACGGAGGAAGTAAGGTTGCAGCTGCACCCCCATTGTGAAATGTTTTGGGGAAAGTTCCCTACTCCCATCCATTTGGAATACCACCAGTGTACATTAGCACAAGAGGTAATATGTCAGATGGATTTACGGCTAGGGTAGATTTTAAACAGCCACAATGTCTGCAGCCCCTCCTGTTGGAAGAAGTGAAACCTCTCGATGTTGGTCTGACCTTATACTCACTTTGGTCCCTAGAAAATTGGAGAGGTGACATTGGATGACTTCCAGGCTGAGGCCACAAGAAGTCGTGTAACTTCTGTTTTCCCTGGGAACGCTCCCACCTCTGTGTGAAGGAGCCCAGGTAAGCCCAACAGAGAAGGGAACCAGGCGGGACAGAGATGAGTCATCCAGGCTGAGACCCTCAAACCAAGCAACCCACCTTCAGTCCACTAGGCAACACCAGCAAAGGCCACCTGCCTTGTTGACTCAGCCTCACTCACTGAGCCACAGAAATACGAGAAAATAAGATGGTTTTTATTTTATGCCACTAAATGTTGGTGTGTTTGTTATGCTGCAATGGATAACTAACCCACTGGGTTACACTGAAGCCAATCCAGGGAAGGTCACACAGAAATACAGGGAGACTCAGTGTAATTGTTGATAACGTAAGCTGAGTTTTACAGTAATTCTACGTCTTCAAACTGCATTCTGTAGAAAATACAATTAGTATTTTTTCCCTGAGTTTTTGGACCAATCAACTCCCCAGTTTAAGATCGTATTCTTAGATGATACCTTAGAAGATGGTGAACCTGGTTACTTCTTTGTTTGAAAGTCCCTTCTGTAGTGATGCATCAGTGCAGGTGGATGGGAGGAATAACAGTTGTTGTGGTACTGGGAGTTGAACCCCAAGTGTGCTCTACCCCAGGCTTTTCAGTTTTTAGTTTGGGACCTAGTCTCACTAAGTGGCCCCGTCTCAGCCTCCTGAGTTGAGCTGAGATTACAGATACGTGCCGCTGACTCTGGAGGCCTGCTAGTTAACCATGGTTGACAGCTGGTTTTTTGTTTGTTTGTTTGTGGGCTTGCTTGTTTTGGAGGCAGTGTCTCACTATATATTCCAGGATGGTTGTGAACTCATGAGGGGACCCAGGCTGACCTTGAACTTGCACCAATCTTCCTGCTTCAGCCTCCTGAGGGCTGATAGTACAGGCCTATGCAACCATGCCTGGTTGGTTGACAAGTATTAATTGCATATTTTGAAGTTGCTAGAAGATACTAAGTATGTTAGCACATGCCTGTAATCCCAGCACTCTGGGAGACCAAGGCAGCAGGATTTTAATTTCAGGGTTAGAGGAGTAACTTTGTGACAGTGAAACCTTGTTTTTTTTTTTTTTTTTTTTTTTTTAATGGTAGAAGAGATAATTCCCATTATAAAGAAATGATCAATATTTATTTGAGGTGATGGATATGCCAGTTACCCTGATCTGATTATTATGCCTTGTATACACATATTGAAGTATTATACTGTATCCTATAGATATAATTATCAGTTACAATTAATGTGCCTGAAAAAAAATCCCCTCTTCTGTGTACCCAACTATCCCCAGCTTGAACTACCTGGTAAAGGAGAGTTCACTGTATTTTGAGATTGTTCCTTCCACAGTTGTTGTAGGGATATCATTCACTTTGCAAATGTGTCATCCAGTAGTTTCTACCTGGTGTTCGCAAGTCTGTGTACTCTGGACCTGCAAGGAATGAGGCCAGATTTGCTTCCTTGTGGCTGCATATTGGCCTGTCCTTTTTGGAGTTATGGGATGAATGCCAGCCGCAGGTCCTGAAGGCCTCCAGCATTTCCTTGACACCTGCAAATGTTTGTCTCAAGCAGGGATCTATCCAGAAAAGCTTATCTAGTATATGAGATAGTATTTTTCTGAAAGATAAAAAATAACAGAAGGGGCATGTAGGAGAAAGAATAGCAACAAGAATGAAGTAGGTAAGGGACTGATCGAGGTGATACAGTGGGAGCAAACTGAGGAAGGATGGCAAATAATAGGGAGTGATGCGATCATTAATTTTGTATTCCCCTGGTAGCACCAACACAACACAACTTAAACCCAACAGTGTTCTGGGTAAGAACTGGAGATTGAGTTTTCCGGAATTTTTCAGGTCAGTTGTTCAATACATCCATTATTAAAAATGAGATGATATAAATATACAGTTAAATATACAGATGGTATAAATATACAGTTAAATTAATTGCAACTATGTTTCAGACTGGAGGTGTAGCTCAGTGTTAGAGTACTGGCTTAGTTTGTGTGGATCCCTGGGTTTGATCCTCAGCACCAAAAAAAACAAAAACAAAACTGTATATATATATATATATATATTTTATTTATATATATATATATATATATATATATATAAAATGTTTCAAGCAAAGATAATAAATACTCAAAAACTATTACCTAATTATTTTTTTCTTTTTTTTTTTTAACTTTTTATCAGTACCAGGGATCGAACTCACGACTGCCTGCTTGCAAGGCAGGTGCTTATGCCGCTGAGCTAAATCCCCAGCCCTACTACCTAATTATTTTATTGCATTTTACTCTCATCTATATTCTGGAGGTTATTTACATATCTTGTCCCTATGTGCCCTTGTGTATCTCTTCTCATTTTTGCACTCAGATACAACACAGTAATAGCTTAAATTAGCCCTATAGAATTCTGACCACAAAAAGTAGCAGATGTAAAGAATCATGACTCTTTCCAGAGGTTAGCAGTAACCAATGCTTAAATTATACCAACTTGTAGTTTATTTTGATTCCCTGTGCACCATGAAATCTGGGCTCAGGTATTGACTACTGTGAGTGCAGTGGCCCTAGGATACAAAAGCTGAGGCTTTGCAGTTGCATGGCACCAAATGATTCTGTAGTTCTTAACATCATGTCCACAGTTTTAGCAGCAAGAAGAATAAAGGAACAATGAAAATTAAGTTGCACCCAACTTTGTAAAGGACATTTCCAAGAAGACTTCTGAGATGCAAGGTAGGAGATACAAGCTTTGGAGTAAAACACAATGCCTTTATCCTCCCTTCAATATTAAGATTTTATTAATAAGTGAAATGAAGAGAGCTGTCTGCCAATGCCAATGGTAGATGGATGGATAGATCATATCTCACAAATGTGCAGTGCTTTACCATTTATGTTCTGCACAGATCAAGTCATTTTTATGCTAATAGCAATTCTGAGAAATAGAACACATCTCTCTATTTACCATTCTACCAGAAGAAACTGAGGCTCAGAGACTATAAGCCATACAGAAGCTGGGTGTGGTGGTGTACTCCTATAATCCCAGCATTTGGAAAACTGTGGTGGGAGTACTGCTGCATGTTAGAGGCCAATTTGGGCTACATACTGAATTTAAGATCTGAACTACATAACAAGACTGTCTCAAGAAACAGGAGGAGGAGGAGGAGGAGGAGGAGGAGGAGGAGGAGCAAGAGGAGGAGCCATAGACGGGTTTACTAATTGAAACAAGTCTTCAAGGGAGGCTGGGATGTAACTCAGTGCTCTCACTTACTTAGCATATGTAAAGGTCAATTTGAGACATTTAGAAGCTTAAATAAGTAGGTTTAGCAACTCTACACCCAAGAGTGTAGAAGCCCCACCCTAGGGTGGCTCATCACCTGGAGGTATAAACGGGAAGGAGGAAGGACTCCAGTCCTCCCCTTTGGTTTGGACCTCATCTCCTGGCTTCCACTATAGACTCTTAAGCTTTCTGGCATAGACACTTCAGCCTTTCCTTGTAGAGCCTTTGTCCTTCTGTTACAGAGCCATCAGCCTGCTGGTGTGGACTTGCCTGAGACACTAGGGTGAGCTCCAGACCTTGGGTTGAATCCTTCGGCCTCCGGAGTGTAGACACCTTCTGCATGCTTCCTTATCTGACTGTGTGGCTGACCATCAAAAGCCAATCTTGTCATTTCTTACACATTTGTATATCTCATATTATATCTCTTTTTTCTAGTAAAACCCTGACTAATACAGATTTTGGTACCAGGAGTGGGGTCATTGCTATGTTATTACTTGATCATGTGACTGAAGAGCCTTGGAAATTAATTTGGAAAGTTTTTAAGAGACTGGCAAAGAAACAGTCCCTGTATGCTGTAAACTATATTGGAGACTCTAGTCGGAGCCTTGAAAAATCAGAGTACTGATGGAAATGCTGCCATTTAAGATGAAGCTCGGGAGGCTTCTGTTGAGAAGGACTGCAGTGGCTGCTGGAGTTCAGGCAGTATACTGCATTTTGACTGAAAGTTTGTCTTCATTTTGCTTGTACTTAGAAATGTTACATTGTGGCAGGAAAATTTCAGTGCATTCTATTGTTGGGATGGTAGCATAGTTACTTCTGAGAGCTTTTGGCCAGATCTATGTTGGAAATTTAGAGCAAAGAGCCAGTAGAGGAATTTAAAACACTTGGCCAAGAAGAAGGCTCCATTGGAACTGTGGGTTGCAAAGATGAAACAAAGGAGAACACAGTTTTTAGAAGAATAGGACAATGGAAAAATGAAGAGCATGTTTGAATTGCAAGAGATTCTTATAGTTTGATCTTGCCATACCACTTTAAAGGTTAATGGGAAGCAAGGGCTGTAATTGTAATTTTCTTTTAGTTTGATTTTAATATTGTTTTATATGTTTGTAGCCAGGTTAATTAATCAGGTTAGTTAATCAAAATATTTTATTGCTGAACTTTGGTCACCCTTTAAATATTTTGTTTTTACTATTCTGCTTAAATGGTTATGTTTTGATCTGCGCTGTTTTGCTGTTATGCCTTCTTTTATCTCAATCTCCACTTCATTATTTAATTTTTTATTTTTATCCTTTTAATTAAGGGAAAAATAAATAAAAAATAGCAGGGTATATTATAGTAACCTACTTTGACTTTCCATTATCTTGATTTAAAGCCCTGTATTACTCTCACCATCTTGTTTTTGACTGATGTCCCCCTATTCTGTTTTGCTTGATAGTACCAGGTTCGAAAGTTTAGGCAACAGCTGTGAAGATAGTGAGATTCATTATGACGTCCATTCTCGTTGACTATTATCTACTTTTGAAGACCTATAATGTCTCCAATGTTTTGGTTTTGTCGGTTTTGTTCAATTTTATTATAACTGATGATACAGGCAATTCTATTAGAGATAGTGGGAGGCATTATGGTAACCATTGTTGATCACCTTGTATTATGCTTTTACATTATCTATTATGTCCACCCTTTTGATTTGACTGACTCTGTTCTGTTATGTCACATTTGGTTCTACTCCCTTCCAAAAAAGTAATAAGAACTGTGGGAGCAACAAAACCCAAAATGTGTAATTGTCATTGTACAAAAGAGAGGAAAAGAAAGTGCTCTAAACGATATAACTGCATGTATAGTTAAGTGTATAAGATAGATAATGATATCACTGAGTTTTGTTGGATCATTGAACAGAACTGTTTGCAGTCTCATTGTTGGAATGTCCACTTTACAAGCTTTAATTTTGTGACTTAATTATTTCTAAGATGACAATATGTAATCCATTAATAGTGATTTCCTACTGTTTATTTTTTTTCTGTAAATCTGTATAACTTGTACCCTTTCTCTGCTTTTTTTTCTCCTTAAATAAAATTTAAAAAATAAAAATAAAAATAAATATTTTGTTTTTGGTGCAGGAAGAAGTATAAAAAGAATTGTATATATGTAATCATTGTTTTAATGTAAATCTGAAAAGACTAATATATGTTAACTTTTCACAAATCTGTCACTAAAGACTATAGTTAAGAAAATGTGTGTATTTGTTAACTTGACCAGGGGTGGATTGTTATGGATTAAAAACTGGTGATCAACCTAACGTCAGCTGGATTATACCAGTATGATGCTGAAAGTAGATCTACCTGAGGAAGTTGAATGATGCTGAAAGTTCTACCTGAGGAAGGTTGCCAGCATAAATAGAGACATGGAGAAGGAGAAAGGAGGCGTTGAGGCATTGAAGCATTGTGGGTTTCTTACATGTTGCTGTTTGAGTCATTGCTTCTCCTGGAAAAGCTCTGGTCCTCACATCAAGCTTCCTGGCTGTGGAAGGGAAGACCTGTGCCACTTAATCTCCAGGATGAACTTGTCACGCTGGCTTCCTGGCATGTACTCGACTGTGATTATCATTGGAGGAGCTCGGGGCTTCCTTGTCGCTGAGGATGGCTGTGGTGCTTTTCAGGACAGCCCAGATTTTTGTTTTGAGTGTGACTTCTCAGCTCCAGCGTAGAACCCTCAACCTACCAGCACAGCTCCTTTACCCTGCTGGCATAGACTTTCTAGCTTCCACCGCTGATCTTTGGGCCTTCACAGCACAGATCTGTGAAAGAGATTGGTGTGAGTCCTTCTTGTGGGCTCTGGACCTTCCGTTGGACTTGTGAGAAGCATTGTCATGAGCTGTAGATCTTCATCTGTACTCACGTGGGACATTGCTATGGGATTCAGGCCCTTGGTTAAGTATGCTATGTCTTTAGTGTTATGGATAGATTTCCTGCATTTTCTTGTGTTCATTCTGGGTAACCATCATAAAATAATATTTTAAACTCCATGTCCTGATTTTAACTGTTCTCACAACCCCTGACTACAACAGTTCCCTACTAAAAGGTTTATAATGAGCCCTTTTAAAACAAATCTGACAAAATCTAGAAAGACAGACAAAATATTTAAACAGTAAGTGCAATGAAGTCTGGAAGGAGATGGTTAACACCTTGCTCTATTTTTACCTCAAGTGCTTCATATTTATAGCTTTTACAGTTGCTTCCTGCTGGTAGAGTCAAGGCCAGTGATTTGAGTGTTCATTACTTCCTGGAATCTGTTCTAGGTAGCTCATGGTTATTATCTCAGTCTTGTGTCAGTATTGTTTTTACCACATTCTGCTTTCTCTATAGATTAGCTGGGGCTCATGCCTGGTCATCTGTGATAACAAACCTAAATGACAGAGCACCATCAGTTTTCTTTCACAAAAACACCAGGAGGCAGGAGGGAATGAATTTATTTTATTTTTTTGTAGATTGATTTTCTCCACCATGGTGCAATCTTTAAAAATCTTTTTAAAAAATCTTTTAAAAAGTGTTTGAGCTGGGATAAAATCCTTTGGCTCAAGAATGCATTCCCTTACCATCAAATTATATTGCCTCTCAAATTACTGTGCTCATTATTATTTTGTAGCTGTTCATTGAATAGATATTTCGCAATATATTTATCCATGCCTTAAGACTTGAGACTTTTCCATATTGGCTATGTTCATTAGTTATATTTTTAAATTTTCTGCTTTTCTTTTTTAAGTACCAGGGATTGAACCAGGGGTCTTTGCACTGAGTTACATCCCTGGTTCTGTTTGTTTGTTTATTTATTTATTTATTTTGTAGTTGGCTGATCCGATGCAGAATCAGCAAGGCAGAGGAAAGCTGCTCACACCATGGGGCCAGGAAGCCAAAAGAACCTTGAAACCAGGAAGGGAGGTACATCCCATGACCCACCTGTTCCCACTGGGCCTGCCTTCCAGCAGGGATCTGCTCTGAACCCACACTCCAGTCCCTCTCCAGAAGACCCACTTAGAAGCACAGGAGGCCTTTGGGGAACATTCTTGGTCTAAGCATAACACACATGGGTTAAAGCAGCTGAAGACATGAGGCTCCTAAGACAGCTTGGAGAACTCTTGTTCATGTGGCAACTGTTGCTTCAGGTTCCTGTCAGTTCCTGGGTCATTTGAAGGGACCCAGTAGATATCTGCAGAGAGTGGGCATGCCTCAGAAGATACCTGGTGTTCTTCCAGGGTGAGGAGAGGCTGGAGCAGCACTGCTCCATTCTGCAGGGTCTCTGACTGCAGCCACCAGCCTGAGAAGGAGTCAGAGGAGGCAAGACTGACTGTCACACCCACCAGGAACACACATGGACCCTCAGAGTGTGGAGGATTCCCACCGACACCCTGCAACTCCTTATGAGCTTCTTGAGGCCTGTACACCTAGAGCTCTGCACAACCCTAATGTACGAGTTAGCAACCTTTTTCTGTAGAGAGCTGGAGAATAAGTATTTTGAACTTGACCAGCAACTGTTCAACTCTGCTGCTGTGTGGAAGCAGCCACAGGCAGCATGTAAAGAGAAAGCGCAACTGTGTTTCATGGTCGTCTTCACACAAGTAAGGTTGCAGGCCAGTTTTAGTCCGAGAACTGAGTTTGCTGATTTCTGCAAGCCTAAGGCAAGCATTTGCTAGTTTCTGGCTGTGCAACGTTTTTAGCTCTGTCTGTTCTACTAAGTCAGTCATTCTACTTTCTGTCTTCCAAAAATGTACTTATTGTGGACTTTTGTCCTAATGATATAGGGGAATGAATCTCCTGACCTACTATATGCCCAGTACAAGTTAGTGCTCTCTAAAATTGAAGAATGAATTTTAGGAACAACAGAGGCCAAGAGTAAAAATACTTATTGAGAGAAAGAAAGCTTCTGTCTGAAAGAGAGACAGAAAGGGTCCTGAGTAGGTTGCCCTCTGTTTACATTTTTTATTTTAAAAAATTTCCTAGACTGGTCTGACACTTATGACCCTGCTTCAGCCTCTCAGGGTGGAGAGATTACCTCAGGGGTCACGACACCTAGCTTTAATTTTCCGCATTCTTAATGTGAAGATCTATGGCTTTACTGAGTAGAAGATCCCTCCAGAGCCAGCTAGGCCTCACATATGGCAAAGAGCTGCCCTGTAGGTGTGACTTTGACACACAAAGCAACAACTCCAGAGCCTGTTTCCCAAGTATTTCCTTTACTGAGCTCTTAACGCTCTCAGCTACTGTTTTACTCACCTCGTAGCCAGGGAGAAGACAGTCTATGCTCCAGAGTCCTCCAAAACAATACACAGCAAACAGTCCTGTCTCCCCTGCTCCTCTGCCTTGGCCATTTCTTCCCATGAAAACCGCAGTAAATGCCCTGACCTGTGTGTTTCCCTCGCTTCCTCCTGGCCAGCGCTGGTCTTTTGCCTGTGTCTGGCATGGAGGCTTTGCATCCTGTTTCTGGTGGCCATAGGGACAAACTTCCTTCATGAAAGTCAAGTCTGTGTCTGTCTTACTTTATAGAAACAAGACAAACTTAATATAAAATGTTATTTTACACATTTGTGGGAAGGAAAAATTCTCAGAAATGGGATTTCTCAATCAACAGTGTATATTTTATATTTTGATACATACAGTAAAAGCAAATAGTTCCTTTAAAAAAAAAACTAAATAGTTCCTCCAAGACAGTTTATCAATTTATATGCCACCACTAATGTCTTTTCCCTGAAGATTTGCCAATGCAAGACCATTAATTGACTGATTTAACGCTTTTTAAAAATTATTTTAATTTGCATATCAATATAAGTGAGATTTCATATATCACTGGTTTTCTTTCTCTGTGAACTTTATTTCCCATCTTTGCTCATTTGCAGATGTATTTTTCTTAATGGTTAATAGGATCTCTCTCTCTCTCTGTCTGTCTCTCTCGCTCTGTCTCTCTCTCTCTCTCTCTCTCTCTCTCTCTTCTTCCTCCATTAGTGAGTTCCTGTCTCAAAACAAAATTTTAAAAAGACTGGAAGTGCAGCTCAATAGTACAGTGCCCCTGGGTTTAATCTCATTACCACACACTCACTATTATAATATGCATATATATACATGTATACATACATTTATATATTTATTCTACAAAGTATGATGGAAAAATATGATGTCATTAATTCTGCTCATTTTGAACACACTTATCCCATCATTCTTACCTCTTTCAGAAGCAATTTTGGACCTTTCTCATGAATGTGTTTAGTTGCAATGCAGTGATTACCTTGATGTCCCAAATCAATTCAAAGTATTTACCTTTCATGGTCACTTTCACTTTGAATGAGAGCTGGAGGTTGCACGGTGCCAGATTTGGTGAATAAGGTCATTGAGGATGTGCCATGATGTTAAGAGCCTGCCTCTCCTCTTCCAAAAATAAAAAGTAATAAGAACTAAGGAGTAATAAAACCCAAAATATGTAAATTTTGTTGTAAAAAAGAGAGGGGAAAAAAAGTGCTCTAAAGGATACAACTGCAGGTGTGTTTAGGGGTGTTAAATAGCGGACCATTTTAATGTTTTTGGTTGGATCATTGAACACAACTGTTTGCAGTCTCTCTGCTTGAATGTTCACTTTGTATGCTTTGATACTGTGACTTGAGCAACTACCTCTAAGATGATAATGTATAATCTATTAACTGGTGATTTCTGTTTTTTTTTTTTTTTTTTGTAGTTCTGTATTACTTGTACCCTTACACCGCTTTGTTTTGTTTTGTTTTTTCTCTTTTTCCTTTTAAATAAAATTAAAAAAAAAAAAAAAAAAAGAGCCTGCCTCTCCATTGGACGGCGCTCAGCAGTGGCATCTATCTGCTGGATTTTTATCGCGCCTTGTAAAGACATTCATAAAAGAGAACATCCAGAACTGTTCAGACAGTGGCAATAATATAGGAAAAGCATGTTTAAAGTAAGGAAGGGTGTTTTGAAGGAGATTAATGGCAATACTACTGAAACAAATATCATTTTAAATTTAAACTGTAGTTTCAATCACATTGTTTGTGCATGTGTGTATAGGGAGAAGGTTACGTATAGAAGAAGTTATAGAACAATGATATAAAAGCTTGGAAGAGTTAAATGGAGTTAAATTGCACTATATTCATTGCATTATCTGGAAAGTGATAAAGTGTGAATGTATATTGGGCTTTAATAAGTCAGAGATAAGTGTTGTAATCTCTAGAATAACCAAAGAAATAATGGTTGCTTAAAAACAGAATTCAAGGATGTAGTTCAGGGGCAGGGCATGTGTGCTTAGTATACTTGAAATTTTGGATCCAGTCATCAATATATATCAGCGTGCGTGCATGCATGTGCAAACACACACACACACACACACACACACACAGCAACCAAATATAGGGGAAAGTAGAGTAATGAAACAATACCTGATCCAAAGGAAGGCATGAAAGGAGAGAAAAAGGTAAGATAAAAAGTAAATTCCAAGATAGTTGCTTTCAAGAGTCCCACAATAAATATAAACATTTTGAAGTATTGAAAGCAAAAGTCTGAAAAAAAGATATAACACCACAATCATATTTTGACAAAACATCATATAAGACAAAATAGGCTTTAAGAAAAGAAGCATGATTAATGTTAGAGGCCCATGTCATACAGATAAAAGAGCAGCCAACCAGGAAGATGTAATTCTAAATTTATCTAAATTTAATAACACACATACACTCAGTCTCATTGATACTAAGAAAACACAAATCAAATAACAAAGATGTACCTTTTAAATCTATCATTTTAAACCATTCAGTTACCGATATCACAGTGTTGGGCAGGTTTTGGGAAATAAGAGTTAGTGGGAAGAGTATAAATTTATACACTCTTTTCATAGTTTATTTGGCTATATTAATTCAAAATTTAAAATGAGCATTATCTTTGAGCTAGAAATTCCATTTCTGGATACTTAATCCCTTTATGTATGAACAAAATATGGTAAAACATCATATGATTAATACATGCAGAAAAAGCATTTGGT